TTTTAAGTTCCCCTTCTTCTTCCTTTTACCCTTTTTCTTGAAACTGGTGGTCTTGTTGACCATCGACACTTGATGCTCCTTCTTGATTTCTACCTCCGCAGCCTTTAGCATTGCGAAGAGCTCGGGAATTGTCTTATCCATCCCTTGCATATTATAGTTCATCACGAAGCTCTTGTAGCTTGGTGGCAGTGATTGAAGAATTCTGTCAATGACACTATCATCCGGAAGATTAACTCGTAGTTGAATCAAGTGATTGCAGTACCCAGACATTCTGAGTATATGTTCACTGACAGAACTATTCTCCTCCATCTTACAGCTGTAGAACTTATTGGAGACTTCATATCTCTCAATCCGGGCATTTGCTTAAATATCAACTTCAACTCCTGGAACATCTCATATGCTCCATGACGTTCAAAACATCGTTGAAGTCCCGATTCTAAGCCGATCGAGTAGTCATCAGCTTTGCTCTGTCAGACGTTCTTAACGTCATCAGTAGCATCTGCAGCAGGCCTGGCACCCAGCGGTGCTTCCAGTACATAATTCTTCTGTGCAGCAATGAGGATAACCCTCAAGTTACGGACCCAGTCCGTGTAATTGCTACCATCATCTTTCAACTTTGCTTTCTCAAGGAACGCATTAAAATTCAACGGAACAACAACACGGGCCATCTATCTACAACAACATAGACAAGCAAAATACCATCAGGTACTAAGTTCATGATAAATTTAAGTTCAATTGATCATATTACTTAAGAACTCCCACTTAGATAGATATCCCTCTAATCATCTAAGTGATCACGTGATCCAAATCAACTAAACCATAACCGATCATCACGTGAAATGGAGTAGTTTTCAATGGTGAACATCACTATGTTGATCATATCTACTATATGATTCATGCTCGACCTTTCGGTCTCAGTGTTCTGAGGCCATGTCTGTATATGCTAGGCTCGTCAAGTTTAACCTGAGTATTCTGCGTGTGCAAAACTGGCTTGCACCCATTGTACAAGAACGTTGAGCTTATCACACCCGATCATCACGTGGTGTCTAGGCACGACGAACTTTTGCAACGGTGCATACTCAGGGAGAACACTTGTACCTTGAAATTTTTAGTGAGATATCATCTTATAATGCTATCGTCAATCAAAGCAGAATAAGATGCATAAAGGATAAACATCACATGCAATCAATATAAGTGATACTATATGGCCATCATCATCTTGTGCCTTTGATCTCTATCTCCAAAGCACCTTCATGATCACCATCGTCACCGGTGTGACACCTTGATCTCCATCGTAGCATCGTTGTCGTCTCTCCAACTATTGTGTCTATGACTATAGCTACCGCTTAGTGATAAAGTAAAGCAATTACATGGCGATTGCATTTCATACAATAAAGCAACAACCATATGGCTCCTGCCAGTTGCCGATAACTCCGTAACAAAACATGATCATCTCATACAATAAAATATAACATCATGCCTTGACCATATCACATCACAACATCCCCTGCAAAAACAAGTTAGACGTCCTCTACTTTGTTGTTACAAGTTTTACGTGGCTGCTACGGGCTGAGCAAGAACTGTTCTTACCTACGCATCAAAACCACAACGATAGTTCGTCAAGTTAGTGCTGTTTTAACCTTCAACAAGGACCGGACGTAGTCACACTCGGTTCAACTAAAGTTGGAGAAATTGACACCCGCCAGCCACCTGTGTGCAAAGCACGTCCGTAGAACCAGTCTCGCGTAAGGGTACGCGTAATGTCGGTCCGGGCCGCTTCATCCAACAATACTGCGGAACCAAAGTATGACATGCTAGTAAGCAGTATGACTTGTATTGCCCACAAATCACTTGTGTTCTACTCGTGCATATAATATCTACGCATAAACCTGGCTCGGATGCCACTGTTGGGGAACGCAGTAATTTCAAAATTTTCCTACGCTCACGCAAGATCATGGTGATGCGAGCAACGAGAGGAGAGAGTGTCGTCTACGTACCCTCGTAGACCGTAAGCGGAAGCGTTATGACAACGCGGTTGATGTAGTCGTACGTCTTCACGAACGACCGATCCTCAGTACCGAACATACGACACGTCCGTGTTCAGCACACATTCAGCTCGGTGATGTCCCGTGAACTCACGATCCAGTAGAGCTTCGTCAACACGATGGCGTGGTGACGGTGTTGAGGAAGCTACCTACGCAGGGCTTCGCCTAAGCACCGCTACAAATATGACCAAGGCGGATTATGGTTAAGGGGGTCACCGCACACGGCTAAGAGATCAATGATCATTTGTTGCGTCTCCAAGGGGTGTTCCCCTCCCCGTATATAAAGGAGTGGAGGAGGGGGAGGGGGCCGGCCTTCTATGGCGCGCCCCATGAGGAGTCCTACTCCCACCGGGAGTAGGACTCCCCCCTTCCAAGTAGGAGTAGGAGAGGAGAAGGAAGGGAGAGAAGGAGAGAAGGAAAGGGGGGCGCCGCCCCCCTCCTTGTCCAATTCGGACTAGAGGGGGAGGAGGTGCGCGGCTGCCCTGGCCGCCCCTCCTCTTCTCCCACTAAGGCCCATTAGGCCCAATATACTCCCCGGGGGGTTCCGATAACCCCCCGGTACTCCGGTATATGTCCGAAACCTCCCAAAACACTTTCAGTGTCCGAACATAGTCGTCCAACATATCGATCTTTACGTCTCGACCATTTCGAGACTCCTCTTCATGTCCGTGATCATATCCGGGACTCTGAACTACCTTCGGTACATCATAACACAAAAACTCATAATACCGATCGTCACAGAACTTTAAGCGTGCGGACCCTACGGATTCGAGAACTATGTAGACATGACCGAGACACGTCTCCGGTCAATAACCAATAGCGGAACCTAGATGCTCATATTGATTCCTACATATTCTACGAAGATCTTTATCGATCAAACCGCATAACAACATGCGTTGTTCCCTTTGTCATCGGTATGTTACTTGCCCGAGATTCGATCATCAGTATCTCAATACCTAGTTCAATCTCGTTACCAACAAGTCTCTTTACTCGTTCCGCAATGCATCATCCCGTAACTAACTCATTAGTCACATTGCTTGCAAGGCTTGTAGTGATGTGCATTACCGAGAGGGCCCAGAGATACTTCTCCGACAATCGGAGTGACAAATCCTATTCTTGATCTATACCAACTCAACGAACACCATCGGAGACACCTGTAGAGCACCTTTATAATCACCCAGTTACGTTGTGACGTTTGGTAGCACACAAAGTGTTCTTCCGGTAATCGGGAGTTGCATAATCTCATAGTCATAAGAACATGTATAAGTTATGAAGAAAGCAACATCAGTAAATTAAACGATCAAGTGCTAAGCTAACGGAATGGGTCATGTCAATCACATCATTCTCCTAATGGTGTGATCCCGTTAATCAAATGACAACTCATGTCTTATGGTTAGGAAACTCAACCATCTTTGATCAACGAGCTAGTCAAGTAGAGGCATACTAGTGACACTATGTTTGTCTATGTATTCATACATGTATTATGTTTCCGGTTAATACAATTCTAGCATGAATAATAGACATTTATCATGATATGAGGAAATAAATAATAATTTTATTATTGCCTCTAGGGCATATTTCCTTCACCCTGCACGAGGTGATCGCACACCTCGGGAGCGGCAACAACCCGCTGCTAGCTTACCCCGCCGCGGTGGCCGTGCCGGCCCCTCGCCAGAGCGCCGGGCCGTGGGTGCCCAGGAGGTTCGCCTCCTCCTCCTCCTCCAACTCTTCCTCCTCGTCCCGCTCCTCCTCACACTCTTTCGGCTCTTCGGCGTCAAGGCAGAGCCCGCCGTGGAGATGCCGCTCGGCTGGCGCACCCGCAGCGCCAGCATCGTCATCAACGAGGGCGGCCCGCGTGCCACCTCCTCGGCTCCTCCGCGTTTCGTCAAGCCGAAGACGGAGCCGGGGCTCGCCGCCGTCAAGCCGGAGCCGGGGCTCCCCGTCGTGAAGACGGAGCCCGTCAAGGAGGAGGTGCTCGACGACGAAGCAGCCCTCAAATGGGCGCGCGACGACTGGGTGCAGACGGAGAGGGAGCGCCAGCGCGCCACCTTCGCGCGGTTCGAAGCTCGTCGTCGTGGCCGAGACGAGGGATGCATCGTCATCCTCGACGACAGCGACAACGACGACGACGCGCAGCCACCGCCTGTCCGCCATGGAGACGCCGGGCAGGGGTCCAGCAGGGGCGGCCGCGCCATCAAGAAGGAGAAGCCCACCGCCGACAACGAGGACGGCGGCGACGTCGACGACTTCGCCGCGCTGATCGAGTTCTTCGCCCCATAGATTAATGTTTTTAAATAATTTATGTAAAACGCCGAACATGTTTAATATAAATATCAAGTTTGCCGAATTTTAACCAAACTTTGCCGAATTTCGCCAAATTCAGCTTTTTAAAATAAAAAAAACGCGTCCGGGGCGACCCTAGGACGAGCAGATTTTAGCGCCGGCTCGCCTCAGGGGACGCGTAAAATCGCCGCCTGGAAGGCCAAATACTGAAGATGCTCTTACACAAGACGAGTACTACAACATCCTTTGTTGAAGTATAATGCGCAACCGGAAACTGACCAACGTCATGCGAACAAAGGAACAAAAAGTCCAGAAAAACGAAAACAAGAGCAGAAAAGGACACCGTAAAAATGTGCAAGAAAAAGACGCACACACGCGCTGACGCAACTCGCCCACATGAGAAAGATACACGTATCCATTCCGTTCCATGGATGGACGTCCCACGGGCGGCGGGCCCCACCCGCACGGACACGTCCGCCGTGCTCTCCAATCCACTTAAGTCGCAGTCCCACCCTTGGCGTCCGCCCCTCTTTCCTCTTTTTAAAACCTCCCTAAAAAAAAGATACTACCCCGAAGATGTCAAAATAAAACACGAGCACAGTGCCCATCCTCTCCGCTCCCCCCCTCCCCCTCCCCTCCGCCTCCCCGCGCTCGAATCCTCTGCGGTTAACAATGGACGCGCAGTACAACCCCAGGACGGTGGAGGAGGTCTTCCGGGACTACAAGGGCCGCCGCAACGGCCTCGCCCGCGCGCTCACCACCGGTAGGTCGCCGCAGATTCGCTCGCCAGATTGGTTTTTTTCTCGGGGGCCGAAGATTCCGGCTTTGCGAATTTCGCTGCTGTTGCACGGGATTTTTCGCCTTTTGTGGTTCGTGGGATTGTTTCCTGACTGTTTCTGCCTTTCTTCTTGCTGCAGATGTGGAGGAGTTCTTCCGGCAATGCGACCCGGGTGAGTGAATTATCGCGTCTGTCTGTCTGCCTGCCCTGCTGTTCTTCGCTGCTCTTTCGGTGCAGATTTTGCTGTATTATCCTTCCGTAATCTCGCAGATAATTACCATTTTATCGTAATTACTAGTACTACTAATTAGGGCTGGGTGTTTAGTGGAGTTTCTTAGAAAATAATCGATGGGCCTTTTCATCCAAACATGCTTGACTGAGTGTTACTCTGAATACTGAAGAATTAACAGACTAAACTCTACTTTATTTCAAATCATCCCCGCAATTTTAGTACTACTACTACTTATTTTGAATCCATGGACCGAAGAACTCGCAATAGAATATGCACGGTGCGTGAGTCCAACCCTCTGAATATCGAGCAGAGGGCCTTAATTGTTGGATTTAATAACGAGCATCCTGTGGAGGGGAGACTCTGACGTAGGCCTCAGCAGTGGGATGGCCGGAAACGGACGGCTCAGATCATTCCACATGCTTGACCCTGCTGCCCTAGAGGCTGAGTGGTCAATGAATTCATCAGTGTCCCTTCCTGCTGAAAGCTTCCACCTTTGGGAGCTAGTAGTTATCTTGGTAGTAGTAGAAAAGGTGGCACTGGTCGTTAGGGAGCTGTGGTGGGCTGCTAGTTGGCTAGTGCGTATGTGAGTTTGGTTTGTTGGCTTAAGCATTACTGGGTCCTGCTTGGTTGGTGGGGTGTGATTCTTCTGCCCTAATAATGATTGATGCAGTTCTTGACTTTCAAGGACTGGCAGACTACAATGATATGAGTAGGACTTGCTGTTCTTTGCTGCTGCTGTCTACCAATGTGTGTACAGTTCTACTGTTGCATAGGGCAAAGAACAGTGATGTTGGTTCCTTCAGTGTATTGGTGGTGAAGGACTGCCTAGCATTGCGTTCTTTAATATTTTGTACATTTGCACCCCTAACATAGCCCTGTCGTCAGCCTTTCCCCCTTCTTTGTTCTTCAATGCCTCTACTGCCCTCTGCACAGTATAGTGCCAGTGCAGCTTGTAACCATTGGAATGCTCTGAGGAACTTACTATGAATACGAAGCAAACCAAGAGAGCATCCGTATTTCTCTAGCTGCCTAGGAGTGTAACATGGTGAATTCAGTTGAATGGGCTTATGTAGATTCAACAGAAGAACGCTATAGGGTTGGATAAAAATGAACTTGAATGGTGGTTAGTGCAATTATTGTGAGGTGTCATTCGGCATGCATAGTGTGCCAGATGCAAGGGAAAATCTCAGAGGGAACTTTATCCCATTAACAGAGGAATGCAATGTCTATTCTCCTGCAATGGACTCATTACATCAATTGTATGCGATTTTCCTTTTTCCAGTGTGCTAACTTCCCTTCCTAAGCTCATAACACGGTTAAGTATTATCTTGATCAAATGGTGTCTTTTTTTATGTTGTAAATGACTTGATCTTTGATAATCTTCTCGTGTATTTTCGGGCTTGGTAATGATTGGAGTCTTGCCTATTTTTTACTCCCTCTGTTCCATATTATAGTGCGCATGCAGTTTTTGATCATATTCCAGATTGTAGTGCGTATAAGCACATTTTGACGAAGATAGCCCCTAGGTTGGATCACTGCAGCGAACCTGCATGCACCCACGTGAGTGACAGTGTGAGCAGATAGGGGCAATTCCAGTCTAAATAAAAGTGCCACCTCATGTCTTGGTATAGGCGCTGCAAACAAGGCGCATTATAAAAGGGAACGGAGGGAGTATAGCTTTTCATCCAGATATTCAGTTTGGCTCTCAGGTCTAGATACTCTCGATGTCATTGTCACGACCGATGGGCGGTGCCAACATTCCTGCTAGCGATTGTATTCTCATCTGTATTGCAGATTAGTGACCTCGCCCATGTCTGCGCAATAATAATGAGGAGGTTGCTATTTTTTTCTTGGCACCACAAATGCAGTTTCATGAACCATCGTCGCAAGTTACGTGCCACCGGCTCAGGAGAAGCCATTAGCTACACCTGCCCCATCTGCCCAGCCAAACAAAAACTTCCACCAGATCCATGACCTGCTCGTCTTGCTCCTAGTGAGGTACCCAGGAGGCCAGGTGGTGTCGACGGTGGCCAGAGGAGAAGCTGCTGCGGTAGATCAGGATCGAGCTGATATGCGGTGCCATGGTTGCCGCCATGCTAGCGTGAGCTGCTCATTAGAAGTGTTGGTTTCAGGCCAGCATCAACTCACACGAGGAACTCGAATGGTAGACGCAGCCTCGTAGGAATACTCATGTGACCACTTGAGAGAACACGGGATACTACAAATTTTGTGATGTGGTAACTTTGTGCCTTTTCTTCTTCCTTTTATTTAGTCGTAACAGCCATCCCAAACTAGCTGCCTGAGACTCACACCAACCCAATGGAGTATGTGTTGTAGCTTATCTAAACAGTGTAAACAAAATGCATACACTAATCCAACTTGAGCACAGCACATTTCAGACGGCAATGCAAAACAAGCAACACCCCATGGACTTAGCTACATGCAGGTAAAATGTTTTAATGATAAACTGGGAGTACCACGACTGACTCTTTCCTTCCCTTCAAAGAAATACTGACTCGGCTAAATTTTGTGTACTATGGTACAGACAGTTAGTTGTTTCATGTACCATCGGTCATGTCGGATCTGTAGTCTAGCTCGCCAAAATAGATGGTGAGATTCAGCACTGCAATTTGTATGCTGGCCTGACGTACACTCCGGTCCATGCAAGATGTCTGCATGCCTGTCTGCCCTGCTTTTGGCACAGATCCGTACAATAAATTTGATGGCTCAGATAACGGGTTCATCGCGACCCCTAGTGCCAAAACGTCACCTCCTTCATCTTGATTACTTTTATGATATATACTGCTTCTTCTGTTAGGAATACGGTTGCCATAAATACGTGATTTAATTGAATATTTTGTAGGTTTACATGTGTCTTTCCTTCATTTCAAATATGTTTGATGATTTCAACTTATGTGCAAACTCAAGCTCGGAGCATCTTCTTTTTTTGTTTCTTCAGTTACATATCTATGATTATGTGGGGTAATCTAGTTACAGCGCAGCCTAAATGCTGTGAGAGCCTTTTGAGATTCTTCCGAGTCCGTACATACATAACTCAGTGTTCTCGTCTGCAGAAAAAGAAAATTTGTGCCTTTATGGGTTTCCCAATGAGCATTGGGAAGTAAACTTACCTGCTGAAGAAGTGCCACCTGAGCTCCCAGAGCCAGCATTGGGTATCAACTTTGCACGAGATGGAATGCAGGAAAAAGATTGGCTATCCATGGTTGCAGTACACAGCGACGCATGGTTACTATCTGTTGCATTCTACTTTGGTGCTCGATTCGGATTTGATAAAAGTGACAGGTGAGTTTCCACTTTCCACTCATCTTCCATGAATCTATAGTGTTCTGTTTACCTAGTATCCTGCTGTGCTTTCTTTCTTTTTCCATCTGTGCAGTTCCTTCTTTCCTATATTATTTTCATAACCACATTTGATGCCTAGCATTAGGAAACGAAATTTACTAGGTAATTGCAGGTTAATCATGGTCTTAACAATAAAGCCCAGAATGGACTGCCGGGAATTGTTTGGCTCACGTCTAATGAGTTGTAACCAAAATGCATTTGTCAAACTGCACAAACCTGCAGTAGCAATTTCCATAAACGCTTGGAAGCATTTTAACCTGGTATCATGGGTACTTGTGTAAATGTGCATTGCTTCATGTCATTTTGTGAAACGCTTGGAAACATTTTAACCTGGTATCATGGGTACTTGTGTAAATGTGCATTGCTTAATGTCATTTTGCAACTTTAGCCCATGTTTTGAAAGACTCATAATTGTTAAATGAGAGTGAGAATTGGTTAACTTTTGGTAGCATTCATAATGTGAGCTTCTTATTAGAGTTGCTTGGTATACAGAAGATGATCCACAACATTCTGCGGTTAAAGCATGTTGTATCTTAATGAGAACCACCTACTCTGAGATTCTTGCTGTTTCTTTCACTGTTGACCTGATGTGTTGTTACTGATGCTTTGCTGTTATCTTAATGCAGGAAGCGCCTGTTTGGTATGATTAATGAGCTTCCCACGATATTTGATGTTGTTAGTGGGAAGAGTAAAACCAAGGCTCCGACCAACAATAACCACAGCAATAGCAAATCCAAGTCCAACAATAAAATGGTATGGCTCACTTTTCCTTTGATTTACTCATACCATGATTTTGTCTTCTGCACGTGCAAGTAAGTTTGACACTTTTTGGTAGATGCCAAGGTCGTTTACTGACGTTTATTGCGTCTGAATACTAGTTTGCCCTATGGTCGTCTCACTTGCACCCTCCGTTGTGAAAGCAGAAAACCTCGGAGCCTCGGGCGAAGCAACCCAAGCCCCAGCTGAAGGAGGAAGACCACGAGGACGAAGCCCCGGATGCGGGCGAGGATGGTGGAGGCGCCGCCGGTGGTGGTGGTGGTGGCGGGGAAGAGCATGGCGATACGCTGTGCGGCGCGTGTGGGGACAACTACGGGCAGGACGAGTTCTGGATCGGTTGCGACATGTGCGAGAAGTGGTTCCACGGCAAGTGTGTCAAGATCACGCCGGCCAAGGCGGAGCACATCAAGCAGTACAAGTGCCCGTCATGCATGGGCGCCAACGGCGGCAGCAGCGGCAGCAACAAGCGGGCGCGCCCGTCCTCCTAAGGCCGCCGCCGTCATCCGGCGAGGGGCGACCGGCCGGCCTCGCCGCGTAGTAGGACTGAGCTCTTATTGCAGTCGCTGTAACAAAGTTTCCAGGCGTCAAGGCGCGTGCCCTTAGGAGGGCTTGTAAAATGTAACTTTATTAATCTGGCTTCGAGTAGAGGATTCTTCTTATTTTAGCTGGGACGAATGTGGATTTGATATCTGTTGTATTATACTATTAATTAAATTCATAGTTCGACGATGATTGTTTAGCTGGGCTGCCCGTTTTATTTACAGTTTCTGTAAGATGCCCATTATTTTGTTTGGCTGTCTTGCCGTTCTAGATCACAAACGCAGAACGACTTAAGCTGAAGGAGTAAGAACTAAACTTCCATCGGAGTATAAAAAAAAAACTTAAGGATGCCTTAACTATATCATTTTAAATTCAGTTAATAATTAATAGAATGAACCACACTTTTACCCGCTACATTGTAGATTAAGGTATAAATAGTGTTTGAGTGAAAATGATCAACTGATCTTTGTATTTGTTGATAGAGTAGCTATTTATACGAGTACAACAGACGCAAGTAGGAGGCGTCTTTACATGAACCGTCATAGGCGAGAAGTCATGACAGTCGGTAGCTACAAAATTCCGCACGATAGTTAGATAAGAGGAGATTTTTCCCTCTAAATAATATGTGCTAATTAATCACAACACTTCCCCTAATCTACGCTTGTCCATATAGAATCGCTACACGATCACCATGTAGAATTGCCATTTTGAAAAAACTGCCCAGATTGCATCGTCACTTCAAAAGGAGTCTTCTCCAGCAATTCTTCATTAATATTCTTCATGAGAACCTGAAACATAAAACTCATAGAGAGAAAGAAATGTAATATGATACTTCAAACAGGTACAGTTCAGGGAGGCACTCCCCCTGATTCTTGCAAGTCCCGAAGTCGTCGCATACCAATTCCATGAACATATTTCTAGAATGTAGAATTTGGTAAAGGCTTGGTAAATAAATCAACAAGATTTTCACATGATTTAATTTACAAGATGTTTATTTTCCCACTTTTCTGAAGAGCATGGGAAAAAACCACTTAGGAGAAATATGCTTAGTGATATTACTCTTGATGTATCATGTTTGCATTTGTGCAACACAAGCCGCATTATTTTCCTAGATAATGGTAGGTGATTCAATAGAACCAATTCCACATGACTGTTGTATGCAGTTTATCATTCTGCAAAGCCACACGCATTCATGTGATGCCTTAAATAATGAAATTATTTCAGAATGATTGGTAGATGTTGCCACCAGAGTCTGTTTAGAAGACTTCCATGATATGGCGGTTCTACCATGTAGGTACACAAAGCCGGATTGTGATCTGGCATTATGGGGGTAAGAGAAATATCCAACATTGGCGTATCCAATCATATCAGAGTCCTGATTTCTCTGGAACTGAAAAATAGGCCAAGATCCTTTGTGCCTTGGAGATACCGAAAGATATTCTTCACTTCGGACCAATGTCGTTTGGTGGGAGCAGCACTATGTCTAGCAAGTAGATTCACTGGTCTCGTGCAATTTGCAAGATACATGAGCGCTCCAACGACACTGAGAGATGGAACCTTAGGTCCCAATATTTCTTCTCCATCACCCCTTGGCCTGAACAAATCTTTCTCTACGTCTAGAAAATGAACCACCATGGGAGTTTTTGATAGGTGGGAACCCGATGAACGAGTTCACGCCCGAGGGTGGCCCAATCTTCACGTCGTAGGATCGAATCGGGAGGGATAACTAGCTGCAAGCAGCCGGGATAACTAGCTTTATACCTGCCAAGGTTGGATGCAACCCGTACGTTGGGGATGGCTGACCAAAGCTACAAGAACTCCAACCCGCTGTCCGGACAATCGCAGAACCACAAACCGGGACTAATCCACACAAAACGTCCGGAACCGTAGAGCATGAACTAGGGGGAACCAAAGGCTCCTTCTCGCGAATCCGAATGAACTCACAAGAGCAAAAGTAGCAAGATCTCTCGGATCTCTCTAGCAGTCTTGCTGCATAAGCTTGTAGCTGAATGGTTTGACCAAAGGTTTCCTAGAGGATGGGGGAGATGGGGTTTTATAGCAGGGACAACCCCCCTTAGCTAGGTATGAAAATGGTTTCAAAAGTAAGCAGGTTTGCATGGCTTCCTTGGGTGAATAAGCAGTCAACTTTGGGAGTTGTTGCAGAGCTCCTCGGAAATTCGCGAAGTCTTGACAGCCTGGACACCTTCCACGAGAATGACTAGAACTTTTGACTCACAACTCCAAATGATGTGAGGTTTTTTGCATTGGAAAGATAATTTGATGTAGCTTCTGTTGATGTACCCCTATGGCCCCGTATCTCCATCATATGGGTGTGCCACACCAAAACATCAGAGGTAAAAACTGACAGCATCAGCTTCACTTGAAACTTGTTTTCTCCAAACTTGTTCCTCCAAACCGGTTGCTTCAAGAGCTCATAGGTTGTTGGATTTCTTACATGTGATACCTAAGTTCAACAAAAAACAATGGAGATGAAAGTACAACCATGTGTTCAACATTGTGGTATGAACTTAAGTTAGCGTTCACCTGGCCATGTGTTTGCTTGATTCGGCTTAGTAATTCTTTCCAACTAAATTATGCACTTTTGTGAAATGTCATGTATGATGTACCCATGTGCTCATCATCCTCCCTCCCTTGATGAAGAGTCGTCCTCGACTCTCTTTGATCTGCAAAAGATAAGTAGAAGGGAAGTAGATAATATCCATGCAAAGAAATGATGCAATCCTCGTTTGCAGCTTTCACCTTTGAATTGTGTTGCATCTGATCATGTACTTGTTTGTCACAACTTAGAGTTTGTTCAGGGATGATTGGTGTTGTTACAATGACTGAGATGTCCTCATTATCCCCCCTCTCTTGAAAAGGAGTCTTCCTCGACTCTATCTGGTCATCACATAAAGGAAAGCATGGCAATACCAAATCATAATGCAAAGGTTTCATGATATTGAGAATTTTAGTTTTCAACTTTGCTATCATATGGACAATGCAAACATGATGTTTTGTTCGACTTAGGAGTTCCTTCCAGCAAATATTTTCATGGAGCACAAATTTATAACCAACTATGAGCATGTCCATATCATCCTCCCTCTCTTGGAGAAAAGTCGTCCTCGACTTCATTCGCTCAAAGAAATTATGGCCTGAGGACAATACAAAATAACTAGGGAAAGCAAAATTTGAACAATTATGTGTGGATCTTAAGTTTGCCAACTCCTTTGTTTTGTCTTGAAGGTTGAAAATTTTATATTGATGCATTGATGGTGTGCTAAAGGATGTACCCAATAATTTTTCTCTTATTTCATTTTGCCAATGTTTCAAGAGTTCATATGTGCATACCTCGGGGTGCATCAAAATGGAAGATCCTTTTTGTTTTACCTCATTGAGTACTTGGATGCCTTTCTCAAAATCAATCTTCACACATGCACCTTGTGTAGTACTACTCCATGTCCTCCATATTTGATCTTGGATCTCAATCTCCTATCATTGCAAGAGAGCTAATAGGTATGCCTTTTGCACCTGCACATATTGCAAAGAAAGAGAATTTTGTGAAAGGTTACTTATTGAATGTTTCTCTCTCTTTTCATTTGGTGGACTACTAATTTCCCATGGTGGTGGATCACTCATCTTGCTATTCTCTTGTTGAAAAATTTCAACCTCACATTTAGTGGACTCATATAATTCAGTTATCCTCTCACTCTTATTGTGTGGTATATTGGGTTGTGGATCACTTATCTCTCTAATGAGGCATGGAATGAATCAATCTCACATTTTGTGGACTCACACAACTCATTAATCCTCTCTCCCTGAATGTGTGGTGTATTTAGGTGGAGATCTTGCATTTCTCTAATCTCATGATGAACAATCTGATCCTCACATTTTGTGGAGTCACTCAACTCATTTTTCTTTTCACTCTCAAGTGGTGGGATTTTTGGAAGTAGACACTCTTCCTCACTTTTGGTGGAGTCACTCAGCTTGCTTTTCTTATCACTCTCATGTTGTGGGATTTTGGATTGTGGACTCTCTTCCTCACATGTAATTTGTGGGACATGTTTCTTGGATGTTGGGACAGTAGTGGTAGTCAAGATGGCAACATTAGGAATGGGCTTCTTATGTAAACATGGGCTATGAATCACCGGAGTCAGTTCATCAACCACAGTCATGCTTTGCTGTGGGTCATCGGTGTGCCGACGGGTGCCATAACTTTGTCGTCGGGCATGACATCCTTGCTGCGATTCATGAGCAACATCGACATGCCTTGGGGTAGCGGTAGCATGCCCTCGAGCATGCCGTCCTTGCTGCACTTTAGGAGCAGCAACGACACGCCCATGAGCAGCAACACCATGCTCTCGAGCACGTCCTCCTTTCTGTACTTCTTGAGTAGTAGTGACACGCCCACGAGTAGCAATATCATGCCCTCAAGCATGTCTTCTTTGCCGCACTTCATGAGCAACAGGGTATTGTCGGTGTCGAACCCCGTCACCACTTTCTCGAAGACGCTCATCAAGCCTCCTTCGATATTCTTGAACAATGTTCCGTAATTCTAGAAACTCAGCACGTGTAACCGGGGCGTCCTTTTCCCTTTCATTTTGTCCATGAACACTCGATGCAAATCCTGCCATGTTAGTGGGGCTAAAAAGTGGAATAGGATATTTTTTGTGGAATCACACAACCTCACCTCTTACTCACCAAAGATCTTATGGGTTCACATCAGATTGTGCTTCTCCCGGATGTGTTAAAGCGATTGAAAGACAGGGATCAAAGAACTAGCTTCAGTTTTTGGTGGAGCTCGGTGGAGTAAACAAAAAGGGGCTTGTGCTGATATCAAGTTGATGCAAACCAAGAAAATATGGGGATAGATCTACTGCACTTTTGCACCAAGATTGAACAACACACACAAGCTTCTAAAAATTTTCTACCAAGCTGAAACTTTTGGATCTTACACAACACTTTCTTTTTCTCTCTTGACTTTTTTTGCCACTTTTTTCTCTTTGATTTTTTTGCCACTTTTTTCTCTGAAAGCAACTATAAAGATGAACTTGGTGCAGATCTAA